GTTGAGAGTTGAAATGGTGGTTGGGTTGGGTTAGAAAGTTGAACAGGTTCGAACTGAGTTGGGTTAGTAGATGGTTGATTGGAGGAGGTAGTTGAACTAATTGGTAGTTGGTTCAAAAAGGAAGATGCAAGTTTTGGTTTGTGTTGATAGGTAGGTGTTGCAGATTGTTTTTGAGTTGGGGTGAGCGATTAGAGGGTATTATTAGAAGGTAAGCATGATTTATGATAGATATTATCTATAAAGTAGGTTGTATTTTCATGTAGATAGTGCCGAGTTTTTTGGGAAAAGTATTTGCATTCTATGGTCTGTTGACATTTAGTACAGGGATGTATACAGTCAGTTAAAATTTCTTGTTGTGTTTTGGAGGAAGAGAGGGGAAAAAGTCTGTAATTTGTTGAAGTTTTTTATTAAGATTTTTACGGGCATGATTAGTAGTAACGGCAGATAAATTTTGCTCGTTTGAAGTATGTGTTGTATTAGTTGACGAGATAAAGTGTGTATGAAATTTTTTGCAGAAGCAAGCCACTTTGGCAGTAGAGGCTGGAGCTTTAAAGAAGTGTGTAGCTTTGTCGCTGCTATTGCGGAGATAGATAAAACATTGTGTTAGTTTGACGCTAGCAGGGATAGGTTTGCTAGTATGCGGTTTATTATCATAGATCCAGATTCTGAAATGAGATAGGTATTGGGCATAGAATGCATATAAATCGATTGTATCAGATTGAGAATGGATAGTAGTAGGCATGTTAGGCTGTATTAGGCTTGCTAGTGGAGATATATTAGGAGTTAGAAATATATTTATTGAGGTATATGAAGTAGTTAAGGGGTGTGACAGATAAGCAGGGTGTGACAGATAAGCAGGGTATAACAGATAAGCAGGGTGTGACAAATAAGCAGGGTGTGACAAATAAGCTAGTTGTGACAAATAATCACAAGGCAGTTATCTTGTATTACACGGGTATATGATACAATAAAATTTGGGTTCTGTAACATGTGGGTAGCACTAATAGGGGCTGGTACTGTTACATGGAAAACGTATTCAAGTGTTGGGGGTAAGGTAGAAATAAAAGCAAAAAATAAAAGAAAAGTAAAGAGAGTTTGGGGCAAAAGAACCGTAACTTTGTTAATATTGGGTCTATCGGGTTAAAATTTAGCTTGTTATGACAAGAAAAGTACGTAAAGCAACTTTTTCTAAGCATGAAGAGTAGGTTAAGAAGTACGTTTTTGCGAAGATAGTAAAAGTTTGACTTTTGGGCCAAAAAGGCCATCAAGGCGTTTAGCTTTAGGAATTTGAAAGCTAATGGCTTGAAACTTAAATATTATATGTAAAATTGTGTAAGCGACAATTTTATTTAAGACTAAATAGTATGATTACTTAATAAAATTATATATAAAAAGTGTTTTTGTGTTTTAGAATTTTTAGAAATTTTTGTACTAGGGATTTACGGGAAAGAGTTTTTAAATTTTTATTGGTTAGTTGTCAACTAGTTAACAACTAACAATTAATCGTAATTGAACTAGTTAATAATCAATCGATTAGTTGATTAAAAATTTTTTTAAATCGGTTAGTTGAAAAGTTGTCAACTATTCAATTTTTCAACTAACGATTTGGAACACTAATTTGCTTGAAAATGCAACATCAGGCTTTTAGTCGAGGTAGGAATGTCTATGTTACACAGATGATTCAATTGATAAAAAACTTTTTTTTATACGTTTTACAATACTTCTTTTAAAAGCTCGGGTAGCTTAACTTTCTAAGAAACGAGGGTAAGTTCAACGGATGAATTAATGTACTCACTTCACCTTATAATATATTCTTTGAATCCCAGTGAATCCCACAACTTTTTTTTTTGCAATATAATTGGCCGATTTACTAAAATTTGAGATATGATTGGCTTATAAACATGTATAACTATATTGAAATTATCTACTGTCGGAGGCAAACCTGCCAATCTCAAAAAAAAAAAAAAAAAAAAAAAAAACTAAACTATCTGACTCGTACACAACCAAGTCTGTTCCAAAAAATAAACCCAGCAAAGCCTCAAAGAAGTCTTTGTTGAGGAATTGCCACATCCCATACCTGCGGCTAAGTTGTGGCTAAATAGTGGCTCAATCAAAGCTATAAGAATCCCAAGACCACGGTAAATCAGGAAAAGAAGTTTGGGCAGAAAAATAAGTCCAGGAAAGATCCACCTTTTGGTAAATGACAGACCAAACAAGACCGAAAAGGGAAATGATCTGATGATTGTCTGTGGGTAATAAGCAAATCAGGCAATAGAGGAGTGGCAATGTGGAGACGCCTACCGTTTGGAGATGGAGAAAGGGACACAATCATGTCATAATAATGACGTGAGGGGCGAGACTGGGAATTCTTTTAGTTCTTTTGTTTTTTTGTTTAGTCCAAACTCGTATAAATAGAGTAGCATTTTGCTACAGTGGTAAGGGCATTGAAGTTCATCTTCAAAAATAAAAAGGATACGATTCAAATAAAATACTTGATACCTTGCATGTATAAAAGTCATTTATTTATTCCTATAACTATACTTCATAAACTAACTTGTCTTACCTTCACCAAATCTAAATCACTGCCTCTATCTTCAGTTTGGTTGTGTGGTTGTTTTGGTTTTTTGTTGTTCTTGGATTGGCTTCTAGATCTGCTATGCTTTCTCATTTTGCCTCCGACAATTGTGATAGTGACTGTGAGATCCTACACTTGGAATCTTAATTTAGTTGAACCATAAAAGTTTTTTTTTTAGATTAGGACTAATGAATTGAGTTCTTGATAAGTTTTTTTTTTTAGTCTTTTTTTTAAACGAAATAGTCTCCTTTCTTCCTTTTTTTTTTTTGGCAATTAGAACGAAGAGGCAAAGCCAAAACTAATAAGAATTGCAAAGAATCCAAACAATGAGTATGGAGCAACAGAGAGTGGAAATAAACATTTTTCCTAACAACCCAACCTCAAGTAATCTCTCACCCTTCCAACCCTGTTTTACACAACCAACCTACTACCAATCTAACCCAAACCCAACCATTATCTTCTCAACCTTCTGACCTAACCCAACAACTACTACAATCTCTAGCCTCTACTCC